ATCTATCTATTGTACATAAAATAAAAATATACTATCATTAATAGAAGGAAGATTGGGCAATCTACTTCCATAAAGATACCACTTCAGAAACCCAAGGAGGGGTCACTATGAGTTGAATCAACTCAACAGTAGTGAGGTTTTTTTTGGGGGGGGGGTATAATTAATAGAAAAGGAAATTGTAAACTTATTTTTTCAATTGTAGCTAGGGATATTTGTTTTTTTGATCAGTTACCTTTGCAACCAATCTTTCAAAAGTCAAGGTTGGCAATATAAGCCTAAAGCCTATAGTCTGGTGGGCAAAAGGCTATGGTAGATGCTTATAATGCATTTTTATAAATGTGGATCTCTTGCCTATTTTTCAAGATGTAGTTATTACATTTTAGCCTGAATCCATCCTTTCTTGGCCATTATGTGAAAAATTCACTAGGGACATATATCCACAATCACTGGCTATATCCTTAGACCAAACAAAAGAAGTCACCTAAGTAAGTTTTGGTCCCTTAGGTTGTGTTACCTGGTATCACAGTCAAGTTTATGAGAGAAAAATACCAACAATGTAAATCCCAGTAGTTTGTAGGTAAACTAAAAAGCTCTCAAATCAGTACTTTCCTCAAATGTTAAATAATTCACTGTGGCATTATAGATACAAGCCTCTAGCAAAAGTTGCACGTGAACAATTAAGGAAGCGGAAGCCAAATAAATGACTTCAGGGGTAGATAACCAAATTAATGGCTTCCCATAGTAGTGTACTATAGTAGTGTACTATAACAAATTACTTTTTCACATTAAGAAGTGTGCAAAATACCCAAGAAACATCAATGACTTACTAGATCAAGCATGATCAAAAGAAAATAGACTAGAACCACATGAGGATTATGTCCTCAGTGTAAATGGGTACTCTATACACCTGGGTATAAAACTCACTTACGTTATTTAAAAAGTTTTTGTGTTCATAGCATATCCCCACACTTATGCAAAGTTCTTTCTAAGTGCTTATACTACAACAATCATCTAGATTGTTCCATTAGGTTCCTACAGAGGATCAAGAAGCAATGCAATTGTTTCTTAAAGGATAGGTAAGAAATTAGAAACGTAAGGTCACAGCATATTGCACCATGTTCACATAGACAATAACCAGTGTATAATAAAAAAGATGTAAATTTAATAGAAGTTTAAATCCCAACTTTGTCACCTCTGCAGTCACATGCCTTAGGCACTACACCACCAGAGCTCCCAAGAGGACTTTAGAAAAGTCTTAATCTCAGTATTGGTTTCCTCATCTGTAAAATAGGGATGATTCATTTATGTAACTAATATTTATTAAGCACCTACTATATGTCAGGTAATACTTTCCAAAGGTTGTTTCAGGATTAGCAATAATAAAAACAGATGGTGTTCATTAGTAGTGTGGGTGGTTACCCAAAAGCAAGAGCAGACGACAAAACAGGCTCAAAGTTAGCAGAGTGAAACTTAATGGAATTCCTGAGAGCAAAGAGAGATACATGGAATAAAAGGTAGTATGAGGTTCATTTCTAGGGACTAACTGGTTATTGGTATCCACTGTAGTTCTTCATGCATTTTCTCTAGTTATTTCAACTAAACTAGCCAACATTTTTCTATAAAATTTAAAAGGTAAAGTTTTCAGCTCTAATTCAAACAGATTTGAGGGAAGGATGCACATGTATTAAAGAAAATTTGCCACAGTTTTTCCACTCAGAAGTTTTTTAAGACATACTTACAAGAAGCAAGGCCTTTTTCGGCATATAAATTTAATGGCCACTCCTCAGAAGGAAGGTTGGGCAATCTACTTCTGTAGAGATAATGCCTTAGAAACCCAAGGAGGGGTCGTTATGAGTCAGATCTGACTCAATGGCAGTGTGTTTGGTTTGGAAGCTATCTACAAGTGTCAGGTTACCAGTGAAATGGACTAGAAAGGTGGAATAGAATCAAGAACAAAGCACATGAGATGTGGAGGAAAGAGAACTATAGTTAAGAGCTTCAACCTTCCCCATTTGCCAGCTGCAGCTCCTTGGAAAAGTCTCAAAATTTTTGAGTCTCAGTTGTTCTCAAGAGTAAAATAAGTAATGACAACTCCTATCTTAGAGAAGAGAGCTCTGGTGGTATAGTGGGTAAGATAACTGGCTGCTAACTAGATAGTCAGTGGTTCAAACCCACCAGCTGCTCCACAAGAGGAAGATGAGGCAATCTATTTCTCTAAAGACTTATAGCCTTGGAAATCTAACAGGAGTCATTATGAGATGGAATTGACTCTATGGCAGTGGGTTCTTTTTTTTTTAATCTTAGAGAATTATTGTAAGGTCACATGGTGTAACTGTCATAAGATGATCAGTAACCTAAAAACATGAAGCAAATATAAATTATTTCAGAGTAAGTGTTGTTGTTGTTGTTATATGCCATCGAGTCGGCCCCGACTCATAGCGACCCCTCGTTGGGTTTCCGAGGCAGTATCACTACGGAAGTAGAATTGCCCAACCTTCCTTCCGAGGAGTGGCTGGTGGGTTTGAACTGCCAGCCTTCTGGTGAGCAGTCAAGTGCCTTAGGCACTATGCTATCAGAGCTCCTATTCAGAGTAAGTAGGAACTGAAAATGATCTCAAGATATCCCTTCTAGTCTAGATACTTGTACGGATAAATGGTAAAGGGTTGGAAAACTTATATTGGCTGGAGGACAGGTCATTTGTAGCCCCGACAATAATCTTCTTTGCTTGATTGCTAATAAGAAAGGATCAGTGGATTTCACAGCTGGCAAACAATAGCCTTCTCTAAATACTATAGTAAAAATTCTTCTGGATAAGATCACCAGGAATACAAATATTGAGATGTAGGTTGTTTTCAAAGTAAATCAACAAGGTCAGTGAGCCATAAATCAAAGTTTCTAGAAATGCTTGTTTTTGTGAGGAAAAATTCTTTGTCACCTATGTTTTTAGGTATAATAATGAATGAAAATGTTCTGCACACCAAATTTCACCTGCTGATTGTTACTTCTAAACAGGTTTTTAATATAGTGCCAAGCATGCTGCCAGGATTACATAAAACCATTGCTGTAATACTACTACTAAAAATATATGCAGTAATTTTTAAACAAAACTGACAAATTTTAGGTGGCTTTTATGCACCAAAAAAATGATTACTCATGAATTTATTTTTAATCTAAATATGTAAGATGTAAAAATGTGCTTATTCCAATAACTTTAGTAAAAGAACCTCTTCACCACAGAAGTAAATAAAATCAATAGAGCACTGGAATAGACTACTTCTCATGATTTTAGTTCCATTATTATTTATACAACTAGTTATCATTTTGAGTAGGTTTAAAAATCAGAAACCTGGACTAAGTAGCATAGAGGTTTCTACAGTGTTACAATGATAGCATAATTGGGGAGAAGGGGTGATAAGCTGAAATTTTTAAATGCTCAAGGCAGAAATAAGGAGCTCTGGTGGTGTAGTGAGCAAGACATTTGGCTACTAACTAGAAGGTCAGCGGTTCGAACTCACTAGCTGCTTTGTTGGAGGAAGATGAAGCAATCTACTTCCATAAAGATTAACACCCTTGGAAAACCAATGGAAGTTACTGTGAGTTGGAATTGACTCAATGACAGTGAGTTTTTGTTTTGTTTTTTTTTCCTAAGGCAGAAATTAAAGTATTTTCTAAAAAATGTATGGAGAAATTTACTAGTCATGCATGGAGCTGACCAAAAACATCAAATTTACAACCAAAAGACCCAAACCTGTTGCTGTTGAATTGACCCCAACTCTTAGTGACCATATAAGGGCAGAGTAGAACTGCCCCTAGGGTTTCCAAGGTTGTAAATCTTTAAGGAAGCAGATTGCCACATCCTTTTCCCATGGAGAGGTTGATGAGTTCGAGCCACTGATTTTTCGGTTATCAGCTAAGAACTTTAACTACTATGTCATCAGGGCTTCTCCCAGATTTATTTAAAAAAAAAAAAAACAACAAAAACTCACTGCCATTGAGTCATTTTCCGACTCATAGCGACAGCTACTACTTGGGTTTCCGAGGCGGTATCTCTATAAAAGTAGATTGCCTAACCTTCCCTCTGAGGAACGGCTGAGTGGGTTTGAACCGCAAGCCTTCTGGTTGGTAGCCAAATGCCTTAGGCACTACACCACCAGAGCTCCCCCAGATTAACAAGGCACACACACACAAAGAAAATTCACTTTTTTTTAACTTTACAAAATATTTTATTCTATCTTGAATTTGAGAATGAAAAAGAGCAGCACAGTGATTTCCACTGAGTACTGTTCAACAAATGAAAACGCAATTTCGAGTTGTTGTTGTTATGTGCCGTGGAGTCGGACCCGACTCACAGTGACCCCTCCTTGGGTTTCCGAGGTGGCATCACTACCGAAGTAGATTGCCCAACCTTCCTTCCGAGGAGTGGCTGGAGGGTTTGAACCGCCACCCTTCTGGTTAACAGTCAAGTGCCTTAGGCACTATGGTACCACAGCTCCCCCTACAATTTTGAGAGCAATGTCAGAAGTCAAATTCCTTCTTACCATGAATAGATCCCACTGACCATGTCATAGTTCTGACACGAAGCGTCCACGCTGCTGGGCCCAGCAGCTTTAGAAATGAGGAGCACCACCAAGCCTCTCAACTGGAGGTTATTTCGGCTGTCAAGTACAAGTCCCCTGCCAATGAAGAAAGAAAGAATTAATATACTCTCACAGGGTGAATCAGATTAAGTTAGAAAATTGCTACAAGTACACCCATATCTCTAAAAGTAGATGGTGAGACTTGTTGAAAAGAAATAGGGTTGGGGAAAGAAAGAGTTAATATGAGGAAACAACTAGAGAATTCCATGGCTGGTTTTAAAGGTGAGGATCTTAATCTGTGAGGCCTGACAGTTGGGCTCCCTTCTCTCCCTAGGTCTTCCGGCTGTCTATAACCTCCTACCTCTCAATCTTAAGCATTTACTCTGATAATAAGAGGATTCCATAGCTTTAAACTGCTTTGAAATAGTTGATAGCAACTGAGATATAAATTGCAGGGCTGGATGAAGTGGTATTTGGTGATGATGGTAGTATGGTGGAGTGGTCAAAAACTAATTCTATCCTCTCAGATAGAGAAAAAGGTTAGAGAATGAAAAAATTAAATCAAATCCAAATGACTAAAGAATTTATTTGAAAAATAAAATAGAAATGCACGTCATCAGCAAAAATCTTGCCATTCCTTATTATTTACACAGAGAATCATTATTCTAGGTACCAACAAGGCTTTAATTTAGAATGTTCTATTTCTTTTGCTAGGAGGATTGCAATTTTTTAATTTCTGCTATAAGTGAGGCTAGGAATACTTTGCAGGAATTCATAAAATTTTTAAGTATTGCAAGTGGTTGTTATATAAGAGCTAAATGGCATCATTAAAAAAAAAAAGCAACTATAAGCAGTATATTATAATAAACTAATTTTTAGAACTATGCTCATAAGCACTAATCAAACAGATTATATAATTACAGAATATATAAAATATATACATATTGTTCTTAAAGTCAGTGAAAAACACTTAAAATTAGTCTTATGATACTTCATCAAATCATTAAGATTTCCACAAGTGAGTTCTAAACAAAGAATCAATTTAAGTTAACAAAACCAAAATTAATGAGTTAGTTTACTACTTAAAAAAGATTTTTTTGCCTCTCAAGCCTCTAAAAATAAATTTTTAAAAGAGCTCTTTGTTATTCTTTAAGAGTTTCCAGATAAGACAGATCTTCAGCCTCTCTGCAAAGTAAAGCTACAGCTCTATTTTCCCCTTACCCGAGTATGTGATCTTCAAGTTAGAAAGGTTCATAGTTTTTTTTTGTTGTTTGTTTTTTTTTTAAAAAAAAGTTCTAATATCCTAGGAAAAGGAAGTTAAGGTAATTAAACCATATCACAAGAGAAATAATTATTGCAGTCATCAGAAATCTCCAAAGCGCTTTATCATCATGTTATAATCCATTTAAATTCTATGGACCTGAATTGCAGGTAGGCTGGGAAGCACCCTATTTTAGAAAGAAAATGTAAAATGGAAACTATATCTAACTTGTTGCTTTGAAATGCAAATTTTAACTTATGCTAAAGGAGTGTAGTGGATAAGGCATTTGCCTACTAACCAAAAGGTCAGTGGTTCGAATCCACCAGCCACACTCCATGGAAGAAAGATGAGGCAATTTGGTTCTGTGAAAATTTACAGCCTTGGTAACCCAATGAGGGTTGCTATAAGTTAGAATCGACTGGATGGCAGCGAGTTTGGTTTGAGTTTTGACTAGAACCTCTATGTATTAGTTAAGGTGAATTGTCATTCTTTTCTTCTTGTATAATAGTATTAAAGAGAAGGTCTGAATTGGCTGTTATTCTATAAAGAGAAAAGAAAAAGATGAGGCAGTGTGTGTGTGGTTAAAGGGAGATATAGTTATGGATAAGGGATATGATGGTGCATTAAGAACTCCAAGAGGTGAGCCTTAAGACAAGTCACATTAATGAAGTGGTTCTAGAACAGTCTTGATAATATTTTCCTCAAACTTCCCAGAGAAAATACCTTTCACAGGGGATATACAAACTAATAATAATAAAAATGATAATGATAATAATAGCAGCAAACACAAAGTGCTTTCTATATGTCACAAACTGTTCTAAGCATTTCACTATATATTAACTAAATTAATTCACAACAATCCTAAGGAGAAGATTCCACAATTATCCCCATTTTACAGATGAGGAGATTAAGGCACATAGAGCAATAAAGCAACTTGCTCAACGTACCCCAGCTGGTAATTGGTAGAGCCTTGGGAAAGCCAGGACTTGAACCCAGGCCAACTGGCCCTAGAGTCTACATATATTCTTAACCATTATGCAATAGTGACTTTCCATCTACTTCAGTTCATGCACAGCATTATTTGCTGAGTCAAATTAGAACAGTGCAGCTTTATAACTAGACATGAGAACGCCCTTCTGCCACTCACTAGCTATGACTCGAAGGAGGCTGTCATCTCTTCTGTAAAATGATGGTAACATCTATTTTCCACAGTCATTGCATGGATAAGAGACAACATGGATAAAGCACATAACACTGTGGAATCACATAGTAGGTGAAAAGTGAACAACAGTTCTGAAAATTACAATCTTTCTGCCTGTAACTTTTTATCTTTTTTCCCCCTTTTTGACGTTTATGTTTTCTTTTTCTTCTACTCCCTTCCTTCTACCTGTCAAAAAGTCTTCCCTATTCTGCCAGGATATAATTTCCTATAAATATTGCTTCCTTCCTATCTTCCCAAATAAGAAAAATTTTAAATTTAAAAAAATTAAAAATTTTCAAGCAATTCTTCCCAACGCCACCCCCCTATATATTTCATATATCACTGCAACGCTTGCCTCATTGCAGAATGCATTACTGAAAAGGGCAGGAAAAAAAACTGTAATAGACTAGTTGACAAAAATCCGAGAG